ATTTTTTTTTTATTTTTTTATAAACAGATAACATACCAAGAAAACGCTCGTGATTAATACTACATCTATATTTATATATATTTATATTTATTTATATTTATTTATTTATTTATATTTATTTATTTATATTTTTTTTTATTTTTTTTTATTTTTATAAACAGATAACATACCAAGAAAACGCTCGTGATTAATACTATCTATATATATCTTTATATATTTATTTATATTTATTTGTATTTATTTCTTTTTACCTATTTGTTTATTTATATTTATTTATTTTTTTTTATTTTTTTTTATTTTTTATAAACAGATAACATACCAAGAAAACTCTCGTTATGCGTTTTCAACAGCAACAGAAGAAGGAGATGTCTATCAACGGGGGGGTGTTATATCGGGGGGTAGCATGAAAGATATAAAGCAAACAATGCTGGTTTATAAGGTATTTATTTATTTATTTTTATTTATTTATTTATTTATATTTATTTATTTTTATTTATTTATATTTTTTTGTTTATTTAAAAAAAAAACTAAAAAAAAAGGAGATGTCTATGGGGGGGGGTATCTATGAAGGATATAAAGCAAACAATGCTGGTTTATAAGGTATTTATTTATTTATTTATATTTATTTATTTATTTATATTTATTTATTTATTTGTATTTATTTATTTATATGTATTTATATTTGTTTATTTATATTTGTTTATTTATATTTGTTTATTTATTTAAGGGTTTAGGGTTTAGGGTTTATATCAGGGGGTAGTATGAAGGATATAAAGCAAACAATGCTAGTTTATAAGGTATTTATTTATTTATTTATGTTTGTTCATTTATATTTATTTATTTATTTATATTTATATTTGTTTATTTATATTTATTTATATTTATTTATTTATTTATATTTGTTTATATTTGTTTATTTATTTAAAATATATCCACTTATTAATTTTTTTAATTTATTTATTTATTTATTTATCTACATTTATATTTATTTATATTTATTTATATTTATTTATATTTATTTATTTATTTATTTATATATTTATATATTTATATATTTATTTATATTTATTTCTTTATTTATAAAAATGTGCCTGCAGCGATATAAAGACGCAACGAAAGCAGCTGAAGATACAGCAGAGCAAATCAGGTAAACCCTAAACCCTAAACCCTAAACCCTAAACATAAATATATTTTTATATTTATTTTTGTTTATATGTGTGTATGCATGTGTATTTGTATATGTATATTTATTTTTATTTATTTATTTATTTATATTTATTTATTTATTTATATTTATTTATTTATACAGAAAAAAAGAAAAATAATTATTTTCTCTATCTGTACCTCTCTTCATGTTTCC